TCGGCAGGAGCAGCACGTGCGAACGACGGGACTTCAACACCTGTCACGCATCAGGCAGCATCGATTTTTGGGACGGCCACGATACGCACATGGAGGGAGTGGGGCGCCGCCTTGCGAACCAGATTCGAGCATATATCCGCCTCGGATTCTGCTCGCATGAAGCTGCGTGCCTGGAAGCAGCTGGCTTCGGTCCAAGACTACACCAGTGTATTCTGCAACTTGGCGGATCAAGTGGATGATATGAGCGACGCGGAACGGTTGGATCGCTACGTGGCAGATTTAAAATATGAAATCCAGTATGAAGTCCGACGAACCCGGCCACGAAGCTTCAACGACGCCGTTCGAGAAGCCGAGTCAACGGATGCACTGATGCAGTGGGCGAGATTGAGCTCCCGGGAGGGCCCTCGATTTCGTGGATCGACCCAGCAGCCCACGATCAACGGCGTGGATGCGCCAAGCCGAGCCCTTGGGCCGTGCTTTTTATGCAACCAGCTGGGCCACCTGAAAAAAGACTGCCCGAGGCTTAAGCAGGGGAAGAAGAACGACGGAGAAGGGTCGGGAAAAGATTTGAGTCGGTAGCAGAAGGGCCACCTACTGACGAGACCCTGTCGCCCGACAATCACCATCCACACCGGGTCGTGGTACCGATCAGAGCTATCGACCAGAACCGGACGAATAACGTGGGTGAACACGTGGACTACCCTGTGCTGGTTGTGGGGAGGGTTAACAGTTATAAAATTAAAATATTCGTTGACGCTGACGAGGTGCCTGCCGGAGATCGATGCAAGGCTAGTGGATGGGACACCACTGGCCATCCGAGATGAAGCGCGAAGAATTCGGATCAAATGTGGCGAAAATTTCGGGTTTGGCATGAAGATGTTGGCGACGACGTTGGATGGCTGTGATGTGCTGTTGGGGCGAGATTGGCTGCAACGATTTAATCCGACGATCGACTGGACGACTGGGGCGTGCGTCGTGCGAGCATATGGAGGAAAAACGACGCTTCCGAAATGGACGGAACCGGAGCCGGTGACGACACGTGTCAACGCGCTCAACATGGCGCGAGCGATGAATGGTGGAGCTCAAGCCTTCTTGGTACACCTGTACGAGGTGAAAGCTTCCGACAAAATCGCGGACATCGACACCCTCTGCGCAGCAGTCCCTGTGGAATTGGCGAGCATTATTCGGAAATATCCCGAAATTTTCGCGGATGATCTTCCGGATGGCCTGCCCCCCCAACGACCTGAGGACCATCGGATCCAGCTGGAACCTGGAGCGCAACCAACTGTTCGGACACAGTGGCGGCTCAGCCAACCGGATCTCGCCGAGTTGCGGGCCCAGCTGGATTACCTGCTCGCCAAGGGATTTATCCGGGCGAGCACGTCACCGTATGCCGCCCCGATACTATTCACGCCGAAGAAGGACGGAGGCCTGCGCATGTGCATCGACTACCGAGCGCTGAATCGGGTCACAATTAAGTCGCGTTACCCGATCCCACGAACCGACGACCTGCTGGACCAACTTCGCGGGGCTCGGTTCTTCTCGAAAATCGATTTGCGAGGTGGCTACCACCAGATTCGCGTGTTCGCCGACGACTGCCCGAAAACGGCTTTCCGCACACGTTACGGCAGCTACGAATTTACGGTGATGCCGTTCGGACTCACAAACGCGCCCTCGACCTTCCAGCTCACCATGAACGGAAGTTTCCGGGATATGCTGGATAAGAAAGTCATCGTGTGTCTGGACGACATCCTCGTGTATAGCGCGACTAAAGAGGAACACGTGCGGGATTTGGAGGAGGTATTCCGGCGGTTGCAGGAACATCGGCTGATTACGAAGGGGTCTAAGTGCGAGTTCCTAAAGCCAGAACTGGAGTTCCTGGGGCATGTGGTTTCTGGCGACGGATTCAAAATCGACCCGCGTAAGGTGGACGCAATTCTTAAGTGGACACCGTCTACTAACATCCCTCAGTTGCAAAGTTTCCTGGGGTTTGTTAACTACGTTCGTCGTTTTGTCCCTAATATGGCAGGGATAACCAAGCCTCTGACCGATCTGCTACACCGCGACAGTATTTTCACGTGGGGGGAGAGGGAACAGTCCGCCTTCGACGCTCTCAAAAACATTTTGGGCTCACCCCCCGTCCTCCGCCTCGCCGACCCATCTCGACCGTTCGAAGTCGTCACGGACGCCAGCGATTTCGCCATCGGCGCCGTCCTCTTACAGGATTTCGGCCAAGGGCTGCAACCCATCGCGTACGAATCACGCAAAATGCAGCCACCTGAGCGCAACTACCCAATCCACGACAAAGAAATGCTGGCCATCGTCCACGCATTTCGTACCTGGCGCTGTTACCTCACGGGAGCCGACGTGACGATTCGGACCGACCATAAATCGCTACAGTACCTGCGAACGCAACCGACACTAAACCCACGACAAATCCGGTGGTTGGACTTTCTCGAGTCCAATTTTCGGTACACCATCACGTACAAGAAAGGCGCCAACAACATCGCCGACGCCCTCACCAGACCATCCATGCAAAACGCAGCAGTACTAATCGCCCACACCAACCCGATACTGACAGGACTATTCACCCACGGCTACAAAACCGACCGATTTTTCCGGAACCCGCAACAACAGGCTGCCACACTACACGGCAAGTACTACCTAAAAGCCGGAACGAACCGGATTTGGGTACCGGCATATCGACCTTAACGAGAACTGCTGACGCAAGAAGTCCACGACTCCAACCTTTCGGGGCACTTCGGCATCGACAAAACACTGAAGCTGCTGCAGCGGAATTATTACTGGCCGGACATGCACACTGATGTACAACGCTACGTGTCCACTTGCCCAACCTGCCAAGCAATGAAGTCGTCGCGACAAAGGCCCGCCGGACTCTTACAACCCCTCGCGCCACCCGAGTGACCGTGGCAACAAGTGACGATGGATTTCGTCACAGGCCTTCCAGCTGGCACAAGTGGCAACGACTCGGTTTTGGTCGTCGTAGATTGCCTCACGAAAATGGCACATTTCGCCCCCTGCCGAACAACGATCACAGCCGAAGACACTGCCAAGCTGTTCATCTCCACAATCGTCCGTTTACACGGGTTACCTTCGGCGATCATTAGCGATCGTGACCCAAAATTCACGTCGAAGTTCTGGCAGGAGACGTGGGCACAGTATGGTACCCGCCTGCAGTTTTCGTCGTCATACCACCCACAAACCGACGGACAGACGGAGCGGACCAATCAGACCATGGAGCAACTGATTCGCACCAACTGCCCCGACATTCGTAAATGGGAGGATTCACTACCGATGTTGGAGTTTGCATACAATAACGCCCCGTCGACCACGACTCAGCAATCGCCCTTCTTCCTGAATTACGGGATAGATCCTGTGGTACCCTCGTCGACAACCGTGGACAACCCGGTACCACGCTCGCAGCAGTTTGTCACGGAACTGCAAACCGCACGCACGAGAGCAGCTGATTTCATTCGCAAGGCTAATACCACAGCCAGTCGCCAAGCGGATCGACACCGACGCAATTTACCTTTCCGCACGGGGCAAGTTGTACTTCTGGACACCAGAAACCTCCGGCTGCCGCAGCCCGCCAAATTACGACCCCGGTTCGTAGGACCGTTTCGTATCGTCCAGATGGTGACACCTGTCACCGCCAAGCTGCTGTTGCCCGACGACTGGAAAATCCATGACGCCTTCCACGTCAGCCTTCTGCGTCATTACGAGCCCCCGCAGTCGCCAACTGTCGCTCGGCCAACGCTCGCGCCGACAACACGCCCTGTGGCGGAGCCCACGCTGGAACCCTGGAAAATTCTGAACCACCGCGTGGACGTGACCACCGCCGGCCGATCCGTGAAATTCCTGCTTCGTTGGAAGGACCGCACGAGCGAGGATGACACGTATGTCCCTGCTGACTCGCTCCTGGGACATCCGATTGTGGATGCTTACCTGACCCGCCGAGGTGTCTCCGATATTCACCACCTTTCTTAAGGGGGGGGGGGGGGGGGTAGTGTAAGGAATTTTTCGGATTCCTTACTGGGTCACACTGTACGCGTACAAACCTGACTTTTCGGAAAAACAGGCTCGGTCCGACGACCTCGCCTTCCGAACCACTATCGCGTCGCTTTCGGGTTTCACAACCCCGGACCTGCACCCAGCCATCCTGCGACCCTACACCCTCGGCCCAGCTAGCTTCGCTATATTAGTTCTAGGCCTCGTTGTGCTCTCAGTAGTTGTAATCACTTCCGCGATATTGAATTCTGCGCACTCCTCTTTCATACAACTCATAACATTGGCAAAGAGTTGGTTACTACGATTGTGTTACCGAGTCTCGTTCGGTCCGTACACGAAAGGGCTTGGGCGAATTGTTTCGGCATCATCGTCGAGATTCGACTCAAACGAACGAAACCGTAACACAAGCCCAGTGAATTTGTTGGCTCATAGGTTTCCCTCCAAAACGAGATTTCGCGAACCTCAAAGACTCCGTGTTTTGTCCGCGACTGGTCCGCGAAGGGGCCCGCCTGACCACAATTTCGGACCAGGCAGATGCACTTACCGCTCCCACGAGTGAGCTGGAACGACCCTTCGTACACGGTGTTTCCCAGACCAATTGTGCTTGGTTCGTCGCTAAACGAAATCGTGTCACGTCTCAGATTTTCCCAGATTTCGTTGAGCTCGCTGACTTTCTGTTGGACCACGCAAGGTTTCGAACCAATACGAATCAAAGCGAAAACATGGCAGCGAAATAGGAAGGTGCTTTAGCGCAGCAAAACCAATTTGGCTTGGTATTTGGGTAACCCTTTTCTGTAAAACTGACAGAGTATCCACCCTCACATGAGGGGTGCGTTGCGTTCAAGGGAAGGCAGCGCAATGACCATCACGAATGAGTCACGTTCAGGCTTGTATAAACTCGGTCTAGGATTCAAGGTCGCTGCGTACCATCCTTTCACAGATCCTTAGTAATCTCGTCTGCTAGGGAAATGATGGAGACAGCGAGACATATTAACGACCTTCCCGACGACGTCCTCGCTAGGATACTACTATGGCATTGTGCGGAGTCTACTACACCTTCGAAACCCGACAGTGACACGTTATGGTCTCAGCATGCATGGTCGTCGAAGCCACTGTACCTTCGCTCGATCGATTTAGAAGACGAAGATGATCTCAGTCGCGAGGAAGCGTATCCAGTATCGTCCCCCTCCGCCTTTCCAACCGCTGCCTGGATCTTCCTCGTGTCGTCGGTGTGCCGTCGTTGGCGCGATGTAGCTCACCGTGACGTCTCCACCCTCCTCGTCGAACGAAATCGTTCCATTCTCCTCCAACAACTCTCGAATACCGTCGCGTGCTTCCCGAACCTCACCCATCTCCATCTGTGCGACGACAGCGTGGAAACCCTAGACGACACCTTCCTCGCTCACCTCGCGTCATCCTGTCCTCAGCTCAAGATTCTCCACGTGGGGCGCTGGATCACTCACCAGCCGGACTATGTCGGACCGAAGGAAGAGCACCCGATCACCGAGGCTGGTCTGGATCGCTTCTTCCAGCGATGCACTCAGCTGGAGCAGCTTTCACTGCTCTGCCTCCATCGGGACACTGAGCTACCCGCTTCCTTCTTCCGCCTCACGCGTCTGCACACCCTGGCTTTAACAGCCGCCTCCGCCTTAGAAGCTCCAGATTTGGAGAGCCTCAGCTCTCTCACCAATCTTCATATGACCTGCAGGGAGTGGGAGCAACTCTCGAGTGTACGTCGTCTTTCCAGCAACACCAGCGTTTCACTCTTTGCCGGGCCCACGTTTGATGTCGGATTGCTGTCGGATTGGCCACTGACCAGTCTAGAACGGCTGCGGATATCATGTTGCAGAGAATTGGAGCGGCTTCCGGACGCCATTGCGGAGTTGCTGCCGCGTCTGCGTGAGCTGACCGTTTCCAGTTGCGAGGCCTTGGAGGAGCTGCCGGAGGGTGTCTGTTCCCTGGAGCACCTCGAGACCTTATCAATCATGGATTGCGAGCGCTTCAGCTGCCTGCCTGAAAACATCGGGAGTTTGACTGCCCTGAAAACCCTGGTTCTGGATACTCTGCTGCTGCTGGCATTCCTCCCTGACTCCGTCTGTCAGCTCAGCTCCCTGGAGACCTTCTTCCTGCTTCCAGCTCTCTCGTACTCAACTGGCGAGCTGCCAGCAGACTTCTGCTGCCTCACGGCTCTCACGACGCTCTGCCTGGGGGGAGTGGCACTTCCAGCGGACATAGGACGCCTGAGAAACCTCCACACGCTGCTTCTCAGAGACAGCTACATTTCTCCGCATCTCCCGTGCTCGTTATTGGAGGTCGCGTCGCTGACGAGGCTTGAGCTGAATGGGTGCGACGTGGAGCTGCTGCCAGAGGGCGTGGGGTCGCTCAGCAACCTGCGCGACCTGCACGTCTCATGGTGCCCTCAGCTCACGGCCCTTCCAGCGTCCGTGACGGCCCTGACTGCCCTGGAAGCTCTCTCTCTCGCTGAATGCAAGAATCTGGCCTCGGTGCCCACAAGGCTGGACGGCTTGACACGGCTCAAGCGGCTGGAGGTGGCCCGATGTGACAGGCTGGCACAGCCTCCTCAAGTCCTGCCGGCTTCGGTTGAATGGCTGAGTTGGGGAAGTAGCTGGAGTCAGAAGCAGGCCATGGCTCTGCCAGACGTCTCCACGCTGACAGGGCTTCGGACGCTCTGCCTGGACGAGGTTTCTGTGGTGTATGGGGTCGCTGTGAGCAGAAGCCTGTCGCACCTGGAGCATTTGCATCTGACTCTGGCAGACGATACTGAGGAGCTTCCATTCGCCTTGACGTTCCTCTCCCGCCTGCGCACCTTGATCATTGACAGCGCGTTGAGTCTCCAAAGGCTGCCGGCCGACATCGGGTCCGCAGTGCCGCAGCTGCGGAAGCTGAAGCTGGTAAATGCGGGCGAGTTGAGGGAGCTGCCAGCGAGTGTGGCAGAACTTCAGAACCTCACGAGCTTGGTTTGCTACGCGCGCAAACTGGCTTCTCTGCCGCATGCTATCGGTGCTTTATCCAGGCTGCAGGAGCTGCACCTCATTGGCTGCGAGCAGCTTGAGCAGCTGCCTGCCTCTCTCACCCAGCTTGCCTGCCTGAACAAGCTGTCGATCCGAGACAGCCCCATTCGTTCCCTATGTTCCCACGCTGCACAGTTCACGCGGCTCATATCCCTCGATCTGTCAGGCTGTGTGCAGCTGGAGGCATTGCCGGGGGATTTGAGTGCGCTGAAGGCACTGCAGGAGCTGAAATTGTTCAGGTGTGAGCTTGTGAAGGACACTGATGGGTCTGTGCTCTCCAGGAGCATGAATGAAGTTTATGGGCGGAAAAAAAATGTATTTAGGTAGGCACCAGTAAGATCCTATGGCTTAGCCATGATGTAATGACTCTGAGATGGCCACTGCGGTTAGGAAGGCAGGGAGGAATGAATAAAATTGTTGGAGATAGTTAGGGACTCCCTAATAAAGAGGGTTTTGAACACCTCGAGGAATGATGCTGAGGGTGATTGCTTCACTGGCTGACTGCTACAGCTGGTGTTACCATCTCTGACACTGCCGCCATGCTCATCACAATTTCCATAGCCTCAACTTCCATCACATCCTCGTTTCATAGCCTCTATTTTGTACCGGTACTTCCACTACCTATATCATTGGCTTTCCTCACTTAGTAACACAAGCATCCCTAAAGCTAAACATTTAAATGGTCACTGGGATGGGTCATGCCTAAAACATGTCAGGTATAGTACCGTAGGGTGCATGCACGGCATCCAGTACCGTATGTTTTGGAACGGCTGATATGCACGGCATCCAGTATGTTTTGAAACGGCTGAAATTTTCCGGATATTCTGCTCTGCAGCAAGCCGCATGAACACAACTGGCCTGGAATGGACACAATAAAGTGATGAAATTCAACCATGAAACTCAACCATGAAATTCATTCATGATATTCTACCATGATATCCAACCATGAAATTCAACCATGAAATTCAACCATGAAATACAAACAGTCGGCACCTCAGCAGCACCAACAGCCGTGGCCACTTGCAGGAGAGAGAGCCAAGGCACCATGCAGCATCATCCGACCGACAAATGGAGTCGGGAGATTGCGACTGCCACCTCAGCAGCATCGACCTCCATAGCCATGGCCACTTGCACTGGCGGCACCCCCACCCACCCGTGGGTTGGGGTCGTTTCAACTGATGGGAGGCGGGAGGGAAGCTGTACAGAAAACTACGTGAGGGAGGTGAGAGAGGTGAGAGAAGTGAGATAGAGAGGAGAGAAGTAAGAGCTGAAGGAGGTGAGATGGAGAGGAGAGAGAGGATGAAGGTGAGGGAGGTGAGGCAAAGAGGGCATTTCAGCATGCAGATGGCAGCGGGCTTGAATGGTGGGGATGAACGGAGAGCAAGGGCAGCCTGGAGAGCAACCATTTATGCGCCACCTCAAATGCCATGAAAAGCCTCGACATCAAATCTTGACTCCCCTCAGGCAAGACTCAAATGCTGGCATGGGTGCAGGATAAGGGTGCGAATGGCAAGGTGCGAGATGAGGGCACTGAGAGAGTGTGACCCGAGTGTGCACTGACACAGGTGCATGGTGAAGAGTGTGAGGGGGGTGAATGGAGACTGGTCCACTTGTTGTGACTTGCCTGGGCGAGGCTGGTCATGGGCCCCGGCTGCACGCGGCTGTAAGCCCCCGTCTAACCTGCTCTCCATGCCACCATCCTCGCATGCCCACTCCCACGCCTTCTGCTGCGCAGTTGTATGTAAGGCCCGCTCTAACCTGCTCTGCCCTCTGCTCTGCCCTCTGCTCTGCCCTCTTCTCAGCCCTCTGCTCTGCCCTCTTCTCAGCCCTCTGCTCTGCCCCCTATTGCCATGCCATGTCACCATCCACGCCGCTGCCTCTCAGTCAGCACTGCCCCTCAGCGCTGCCTGCTGCAACAGGTTCTGCAGGCGCACGCAGCACCACTCCCGCCAGGTCATTTGGGCGCAGAGAGGAGGAGCAGGAAACGGGAGTTGCGCCACTGATGCTGCCATTTCCGCTGCTGACGGCACTGCGGCTGATGCCACTGCTGCTGGTGCTCGTGCCGGCGGCTGTGGGTTCAGAAACGATTGGCTGATGGCAGCAGACAGGGAAAACGTCTTTGTTCGAAAAGGAGGTGCATGAGGCGGGAGATGCCACCGTTGCCACTGCCATTGCCACTGTTGATGGCTCTGCTGTTACTGCTGCTGCTGCTGGTTCGTGCTGGCGGCTGTGGGTTCCGAAAAGATTGACTGATGGGAGAAGATAGGTAAACTTGGTTGGAACGGGAGAAAGGGGTGGAGAGGACATTGGGGGAAGAAAGGGGAAGAGAGTAGTTACTGTAAATCCACACTTGAATGGATTCCTAATGCGGCTCAATTCAACTGCCAGGAGTTATTTAGATAATGTATGAAGATAATAATCGAAGGTGGGAGCGGGAAAACAAAAGGTGGGAGAAAGAGTTTATTTTAACACTGGAAATAGAATGAAGAATGCATGTAAGAAAAACAAAGCGGATGCAGAACGTGGCCATACAGCTGGATGTGTGGCGGTTGAAAGCGGTAATGTGGGGCCCTGAAAAATAGGCGCGTCTGGGAGACACGCTGTTATGCAGCGGAACGGAGAGGGGATGTGGATCGTTGCAGACGGATGCATGCAGGAAAGCCGGAGGGAGAATTGGGTAGTTGAGAGTGCTCAAGTCAGATTTGATAGGCAGTGTTCCGGAACCAAAAAACAAACATCATTGCTAGCAACAGGTGAATCAGTCAGGTTGAGTCAACATGGAAGCTGTAAACTTAACTTCAATACAGCCACAAAAGCACCAGTGCAGATAATCGGCAACACGCATACTCACCGCTTACACCAGAAATGAGATTTCGTTCAGGCATAGTCAAACCACCAGATCTTGAGAGCCGCATGTGACACCTTGACACGTCACATAGTGCCTGACTGACGTGGGAGTGCCCAGAGCATGCACGAGATGACGGGCCCTGGCAATGCTGTATGAATTGGATGGCGGAACCGAGGGAAGAGGAAGGAAGTGGAAGTGGGGAGGAAGTGGGGGAGTGGTGAGGGAGGGCGCGAGAAACGGAACGAGGATGGGTGAAAAGGGGGGAGGGAAAAAAATTACGCTAGTGGGTTAGCAAACCGGGATTCCTAGCCGCGTTTTTAATCCGACATTCCTAACCGGGTTATCCAAACGAGGACTCCGAGTCATGACCAGAATTGCGGAGACGCTAGAAGAAAGCCTACTGAAGGGGATAGCCTGGGAATATAGAAACGAGATGGCTAGAACTGCTGGCCGCAGAAACAGGAGCGTAGTGAAAGTGCATACGAGAAGGCAGTGACGAAACATAACTTTATTATGCCAACCTTCATGTAAAATACACAGGCAGGAGGGAAGTACGTTCGCCCGAGGTATGTTTCCAATCACATCCTTGCCGCCTTTCACGATATGTCTGCGCGTCAAACTGCCGACGAATGACAAGCACACACGCACGGCACATGAAGCACTGCCGTGCTGGCATGGGAGATGGGAGAGAAGAGAACGTAACATATGAGGATGGGATGGGGAGACGAGAGGAGGGGGAGGAGGGGGAGGAGTAGTCAATTTCTACCTCGTCATTTCGTGACTATCTGACAGAAACAAAGAATCCCAAGTATGTTTATTCTCAAAACGCTAAACATGGTAACAAGACGAAGCAAGCGTACAAGCCGACTTCGCTGATGAGGGCGAATGGACTTTCCCCACTCGATCTTCTACCGGAGTTACAGCATTACACGTTCCAGAGAGTCGCCTAGGAATCAAGCTGAACAACTGTCCAGCAATTGCTGCAGGGGGGTTTGGAGCTTCAATCGAGATTCTACAAATCGCCGCAAATCATGGCCATCTAGTCATTCCACATAGTCACTTCGTGGTTTTGGGCTCGAGCTGGGCCGCTTCTGACGTGGAATAGCATGCACGAGTCGTTGCAGAGTACGAAGTGGGACTCCATGCTCATGGACACCTCCCAAGGCGCATGGGTTCCGTGTCGATTCAATGTACCAGAGCATAAGAGGAATAGGAGCAGTCCTCTCCAGGCCAAGGCCTGAGATTCTTAGGGACCTCTTTGTTTCTGAGTCTCGGGGACTTTCTGTTTCTTCAGTCTCTCGTCTCTCAGCCCAGAGACTCTTCAGACGAGAGGGTCCAAGAGGAACATAACCCAACCAGCTGTGAGTCTTAGGATCTCGTTCCCTTCCAACCCTCACGTAATTCCAGCAGCAAGTTGCTGTCTCCATATCGTGTGAGCCATGTCGTCTAGTGATAGAGACCAACCGTCGCTATCCCTTAGCAATTCCACATGGTCGTCGTTGTTCGATCATTTGTCGGATGACTTCCTCTGCATCATTTTCCGTATGTTAAGCCAGCAGACGCCTAGCAGCTTGAACCACGCCTTGGTCGGCAAGCGATGGCGTTGCCTTGCTTATCCCTCCTATTCGTCCATCTCCATGATGCGCTCCAGCAGAGAACACCAGATTCAAGCAGGCACTGGCCTTTTGAATTACTTGTCGAAGTTCACGAATTTGACGTCTCTAAGGATAAACAGATGCCTCTTTGATGACGAGTGCAAGTTTTTTTTCGGCCTCGGGTCTGCATGTCCCAGGTTGACTCGTCTTGACCTCATAAACGCGGGTGGTCATACTTCTTTGGCGTGGGATGGTCTGGATGCAGTCTTTACTGCTTGCACTGGGTTACATCATCTCGCACTGGACGTTAACGTGCACCCCTCAGTTCTCCCACCATCCTTCTTCGATCTGTCTTCCCTGACAGAGGTCTATTTGCAAGCCGATTTCACAAGCCTTCTTGATGAATTCAACAAGCTGAGATGCTTGAAGAAGCTCACGCTGAGCTACCTCTTCTCCGGGCTCCCAGAATCTTTTGGTCTTCTCACCGGGCTGACCGAGCTCCAGTTGTTATGCTACAAGCAGTTACACCACCTGCCCGAGACCTTTGGAGGCCTTTGTCGCTGGTCAAACTCATCATATCCGATGTAGCCGATCTGGAGGATCTTCCTGACAGCATTGGCTGCCTTCAGAACCTTCAAGAGTGCTTTTTGAAAAACAACTCATCACTCTCCATGCTCCCGGATTCCTTCTTCCTGCTTACTTCGCTACGTGTCCTTGAGCTGACGAAATTCAGTGAGGTGCAACGTTTTCCGAGCGCCATGTCTGATCTTGTTTCTCTCAAGAGCCTGACAATCAGAAACTGCTCTGCACTGAGGGAACTTCCAGAGGGCATGGATCGCATGTCATCATTGGAGCATTTGGAGCTGTGCCAACTCAGCAGCCTCACTCACCTTATTCCCTCTCCAGCCTCTCCAACATTCGATCTTTCGCCTTCAATCACTACAACAGCGTCACCAGTATTCCGCCATCCCTCCTGGTTAGTAATTGGAGGACGAGCCTGACCTCTCTTGAGTTCGGATGGCCAACCAGCTGCCCGACTGGGGATGCGGAGGATGATACAATTTTCATTTCGGCCATCTACGAGCTTGAAAACCTTTCAGCCCTCTTCCTGTTTGGCATTCCCTACGTGATTTCATTTCCGTATGGAATGTATGATTTGAGACAGCTGCAGCAGCTGACTGTATGTTCCTGGCCCGACTTGGAATCCTTGCACACTTTGTATTTGCATGGCAACCTCAAGACCCTCGAGATTATCGCGTGCCCAGCTTTTCAGGACGAGACAGACGAAATCTTGAAGTATCTAACTCTTGAGAGTGGACGCATCGACGGTAGATCGCTGGGGAGAGGACGGATTGGAGGCAGCGGGTGAACGTGGGAGGCCGGTCAGCACTTACTTGGTGAGGCTGGATGGAGGTGTGTGCATGCAGTCAGGCTGGTTGTATGGAAGTGGGTGCATGCAGTGAGGTTGGATGGATGGAGGTGGGTGCATGCAGTGAGGTTGGATGGATGGAGGTGGGTGCATGCAGTGAGGTTGGATGGATGGAGGTGGGTGCATGCAGTGAGGTTGGATGGATGGAGGTGGGTGCATGCAGTGAGGTTGGATGGATGGAGGTGGGTGCATGCAGTGAGGTTGGATGGATGGAGGTGGGTGCATGCAGTGAGGTTGGATGGATGGAGGTGGGTGCATGCAGTGAATTTGGATGGATGGAGGTGGGTGCATGCAGTGAGGTTGGATGGATGGAGGTGGGTGCATGCAGTGAGGTTGGATGGATGGAGGTGGGTGCATGCAGTGAGGTTGGATGGATGGAGGTGGGTGCATGCAGTGAGGTTGGATGGATGGAGGTGGGTGCATGCAGTGAGGTTGGATGGATGGAGGTGGGTGCATGCAGTGAGGTTGGATGGATGGAGGTGGGTGCATGCAGTGAGGTTGGATGGATGGAGGTGGGTGCATGCAGTGAGGTTGGATGGATGGAAGTGGGTGCATGCAGTGAGGTTGGATGTATGGAAGTGGGTGCATGCAGTGGGGATTGCTGGGGTGGCATGGGACAGGGTGTGGTAATGCATTGGGTACTGGTTGGTTTCTCGTGTTGAGCAGAACGTTATGTGTTTGTCTGTGTTGCGATGTCTTGGGGTGTATTTCGATATGTTGATGCGGGTTTGATGTGTCACACATCTTGCTCTCTTTCCTGATGTCTCTCCCCCTTCCCCGGCCCATTCTATCGTGCAGATTGTATCATCAGTGCTGGTCCGAGCGTAGTGGAGAATGGTCAGGCATGGTTACGAGGTTCTGTTTGCTTTGAATAATACGCGCTGGCATTCTCTCGTGTGTACAGTTTGTTGGTCTTAGCTGCTGTGGTGCATTGCTTTGAAATTGAGTAGTCCCTATGTGGAAGGGTACTTGGAGCAGTGTAGCGCAACAATTTCCAGAGCAAGAGCAGCCAGTGTGGCGACTTGGCATGGCAGCAGCAGAATGTTAGATGGAAGGCAGGAACGTGGGGTGTGTGGAGGAGAAAAACGACGCATCAACGCGGAATCCATGAGGCGGAATTCGCACGGTGGA